CATCAATAAATCCCGTTTTCGACGGGCTTTCATCTGGTATAAAATTCATTACTTACCCTATTCGCAATTATAGCGTTACCCCCCTGGAAAAACATTTTTACGCACCCTGTAGTTCCAACCTTGATCCATGAGTAGATGAAAAACTTTCGGTGGGCAACGTTAAGCTGGCTGGAAGTCTCGAGTGCCCCCGAGCGTAGGTATCATGTAGAAATTATTAAATTTTTAGAACAGTATTTTGCATTTTTGTTTTGAAGAAAGTATTTTAAAGCGGAACCAAGCCCATATTCGTGATTAGCGTCAGAAACTGAATCGAATAATGTATCATTCAGTCCTTTTTCGACATATTGTTTCAGCAGAAAATTTCTACGGCATCTCTTCCTTTCGATGATTTTTCTTACAACACAGCCTTTTGCCTGAAATATTTTTGATTATCCAAATTTATCATATACTGTTCCAATTCTTGCATGTGCAGTTTTAACAGGAGACCGATAGTTTTGGTCGGAGCAGTTAAATGTTGCTTTTATTTGGTCATACTTCCATGTACGAGTAGTAAGGATAGTAAACGTGCATGCTCAACAAATGGCATTTTATTTTTCAAATATGCAGATGATCGGTACACACTTACGGCATCTGTGGCCATAAAACCTTTTCCAGGGATTCAACTGTTTTGTGATCGGTGAATAGGGTATTGTGCACATAGGAATCTCTCTGAAGTCTCCAGGAAACTATCGCAGTACTAAATTCAATAAAACTTCGGATTCCTATTCAAATAAAAGTAAGCTTTCAATACGTAATTAATGCAAGAAGACTTTTTCCAGTGTGTTAGGGTTATCGATTTTATGCAGAGTCCGTCGATCGATGCAAAATGGAGCTTCGCATTTTAATTTGACTGTAAGAAAATACCCGATTTGAACTGTTAGATTCTACGCATTTGTTTGTGTCGACGAAAGAAACAAGTCTGTAGAAAAAAAAATTATTGACCAAAAACAACAGAATCTTCATATCTGTCCTTCATTTTCATACAGCAATATTTCACTATCACAAAAAAGCCTATATATATTGTTTCAAATTCATTCTCTGCACATATTTGAATCTATTTACAGGATTAACTCCAATCACTTATTCAAGACTATTTACTGCTTTTTAAGCAATTAATTTTATTCTATTATTAACATAAATAAAATAAGGACTCATATGCATAAAAATAACAATAATAATAACGGTGAAAACAGTATTATTAAATCTGCTTCATTGACACAAGATTATATCCTGAGTATGAACAAAATAATTACAATAAAAGTATTTATAAAAATATTAACAACGATAAAAAATATTTTAACGAATCTGTCCGAAATTATCAAGTTGGATACATTTGGACTTCTGTATAAAATTTGTTAATAATGTATAGGCATTTCTTGTATTTGATTGAACAAAAACAGATAACGGTGGATTTAAAATGGTTTGCGATGTTATTAATAGACATAGTTGTTTTGCACGTGTTATACTAACATTAACTCGTTGACGATTGAAAATAAAATTTAATTCATTTTTTAATTGTTCATTATTTCGATACATCATACAAATAAGAACAATGTTGGCTTCTTTACCTTGCATACGTTCTACTGTATCACAGACAATATCAACAGACGACAGAGGAAATGATTGTAACTTACGACGAATTGATAAGCGTTGTGTCCTAAAGGGAAAAATATAAACACTCGAACAGCTTAATAATATCTGGGTTTAAAATTTTCTCATTTAACATCTAGTATGCCACAAATATTTCAAACGGAACGATATAAACACTACTTACCTATGAGGAGTAATTATGAATATCGATAATTTTTTGTTTGGTAGTTGAAAGCGTACAGATAATTCATCAATTAGTTGTTTGACTAGTAACGATTCTAATTCTAAATCATCACGAATTGAATAAGATCGATTTTGATTATTATCAACAAGGATTGTGTATAAAGAATTATTCTCAGATAAATTTTGATCAAGAATCCAAAATGATTGAGTTTTATCGTCATTATTGCGTTCAATAGCGATCATATCAAGAACTTGACCCGGACGACCTTGTTTATAATTATTACCGTATAGTATGCGAGTAAATTCAGATAGTTGATTGTTCATACCTAAACAGACAAAATGCATATCCTGTGAGTCTAAGCGAGCCAGTTATCGCTTCTTTCGACCGAACAACGGTATAGTACCGATACATTATAACAGCATGACCCCACCCGATACAATCGTGCAATAAACTGACGGTTTCAAAAAGGTGTCCCCATCTCACAAAATCGATTTTGAGATAAATGCATGATCGAGTCACCTGTAGTATCTACTATCGAAAATCATAAAAAATATTGCTGATATAAAAGATTTTCAGAGGGGTTTCTGAAAGTCTGTTTTTTGAGAAGTGATCGCTATTGTTTCTTTTAATAACTTTTGATAGGTTTTGTAACTTTGTAGTGGAGCATCTTTCTGTAAAAACTTTTGTGGCAACGATTTTTCTAGACGATCGTTGGTAAAACGACCTCTCCGTCTACCAACGGTTCCAGATGGCATCGGTTTTCTTTTGAGTGCCAGGATCGACAAAGGCGTAAAGGGCCTATCATTATGCTATGAATGACCAGCAAGACAAAACACACGGTTAAACCATTTGTTCAACGCGCATGTTGGCATATGTCTGCATAGATGTCCACGCATGTGGACTAATCTAGCTTTGGTCCTGACCGACCCCGATTTTTTGAGCTCGGCTTTCCTTTAGTGTACACATCTTTGAAAATCTCGAAGGGATCTTTTGGACTCTTTGACTCAAAATATTTTTTTTGAAATGGAAGAAATTTAAAATTTGAAAAAGCGACTTTATTAGGATCTAGATATAGGTGTTTACTAATTATTAAAACAATTTAAGTTGAGGAAGCTCCACAGATAAACAGCCCCGTTTTGCCTAAAGATTTGTTAAAACCTCCATAAGGGCTAAAGATGTAAAGGTGAAATTTATACCACAGATCTACATTCCTGACTAACATTTTCTGAAAATTTCGTCGGATGTGATACAGGCGAGAATATTTCTATGGAGAGGGAACCGCCTCAAACAGGGTAAAAGGATAACTGATTTGTTCAATTGCTCAAGTGCTTAATCTTTGTCAAAGAATTAATTATTCAACTTACGATGATTTTCATGAAAGATTGATAAATATGGACATTTAGAAATATCTTCAAATGGTTGATCACTGTTGAGTGAAATAGGCAAATTATCTTCATCACGTAATAAACAATGAAATATTGATGAAAATAAATCGGGTGTTGGTGATGGTAAATGTGGATAAGTACATTGTCGAACAGGCGATAGTTGAAGAGGATCACCAGCTACAATTAATCGAGAAGTTTCATGAGAACTTAAACGATTTAAAGCTAATACGGCATCAGATGTTAACAATTGTGTCGATTCATCAATAAATATTAAATCAAATTTAATTTTATTATCTAATTTCTGTAATGTCCATACTGTTGAACCACATACAATTGAACCTTGATCATTTTCCACCGATAATTCACGATAATTTTTAACATTTAGTTTTAAAATTTTGATTTGAGACGCGAACATAGACCATTGTTCATTTTGAGAAAATAAATTAACAACATTTTTAACACTATCCAATAAATTATCAATGGCAGCATGAGTGAATGCCGTTATTAATATACGTAAATTTGATGGTTTATGTTTATTAGTTATTGATTGCGATTTATTTGCTGCAGACATCATCAAAATTTGTAAGATGGTTACAGCTGACCAATAAGTTTTTCCCGTGCCTGGTGGTCCCCATATTAATTGAATTCGTGAATGTCTAACACGTTTGGATGCATCTTGTTGAGCTTTATTCAACATATGTAATCCAGTTGGTCTTATCGTTGCTTCACGTGTGGAAAATATATCTGATATTAATTTTTCAGTTTGTTGTTCATAATTATTTTCTATTTTTAGTATTGATGATTTAAACAGTTCTACTGGATTATCAAGTAATTGAATTGTCAATGATTCAACAGAATTTAGACCTTGAATAGATTTTTTTGTATTAAAATCAGTATAACGTTCATTTAACCAATAATAATTGTTTACTTTTAATTTCAAACTACTGTTAGCATTAAGACCTTTCACTTTTAATAGAATAACATTTGGATCATTTGATGATGTTGATGATAGTTTTTCAACATTTGCAAGTGCATATTTGTCTAACTTTAAATTTCTAATACTATCAATTGCTTGATCCATGTAAATGGCATCAGGAAAGGACTGAATGTTTGAATCATCGTCAGATATCAAATATTGATACATTCGAAATTCATTCGAATTTACACCTACCGATCCGTCGCCTCCACCTAATTCAGCAATGACCTAAATACAACAAAGTTTTGATGATCATTTGAGAATCGAATGTAATGGATGGATTTATACAACACTTACATCCAGTGGCTGTTGCATCATATTTTTAGCTAAAAATTCTAATCCTCTTTCCACAAAGCATTCATAAAAGAGATTATATCGCTCTGGATTTGATGTTAATGGAACTTTTATAATTTGTTGAATTTTAATTAGAATTGCATGTTCAGTTGAACCATAACGATCATATTGAATTTGTCTTAGACCAAATAACATTTCATATTGTCTCAAAAATAACAGACGTCGAATATGAGAATGTTGAGCTATAATTGGTTGTATCGTTGGTAAACATTTTGCTTGTAATTGTAAAGAAGATGCTTGAGATAATTCTTGTTGGACAATTGTAAATAAACGAGCTAAGACATTTAAATATTCCTGTATTGAATTTGAAACATTAGATAATTCATTGTTATCACACACTATTTTAAAAGAAGAAAAGAAAAACAACGAGTCCTTCTTTTTTCCTATAATTTTAATTCTTACTTTTGTATTCCATGACTTTTTTTAATATTTCTGATTTTCTTTGTGATGGTAGAGAAATTGTAAATAAATATTTTAGATCATCTAGATCGAAATAGCCAGGCATCGGTATAATGTACGATTGTTTTATAGCCGTATGTAAACAAATAAAACATGCTAAACCAACGAGATTTGCTCGAGATTCGTCTTGAATTTTTGTTGTTTCTGTTCGTAATTGTTGAGCTAATTCTACTTTTGTTGTTTTTGATGATGATTTAATATTAAATTTTTGCTCTAATTTTTCTTCAATCTCGTTCTTTTTCATTGTTGATATTTGTGTATTTTGAAATACATTTTCTGTCATATCAGGTGGATAGGAGAGTTGTACAGCCGATTCTGTATAATTAAGTAAAACTAGACAATCATCGATATGAGGATGATCCGAGGCTAATGTTAAATGATTGAACAATAGTTGACGTTCAGATTCATCAAAACAGACAATTTGACATGGTGAATTTAGCTGACGTAAACGATTTAATCCTAACACAATTGTCGACACTATTTCAGTAGATGATGGATTAATTTTAATAATTGGATCCAGATGGTGCCAAGAAGATGTTGACACGTCGTAAATATTATAACCTAAAGTAGAAACATTGGACATGCGACGTATTATTATACAAAATTAATTATTTTATTCCGAAGTTATCTTCTTTGAAAACAAACTACAAACCAAAGTAAGATGTGTAGTCTGTAGCCATCTTATTAGAACTCAAAGATTCTCTAACATCCTATTTTAGAAATAACAAGTTCTCAAACCTACCAAGAATGGCGACTGAACCAATTTTTACCGGATTTTGAATGATTGACAAAACCATTAACTTTAAATCTTGTGTCACTTGTGGTAGTAACAATGAGTAAACTTGTTTTAATTGTGGTACATGGGTGGTGACAGCTTTAATTGCCGTACTTCTAAGTCCTTGTGTTTCTTCTTCTACGGCCAATGTCCGATATAATTTTATTTTTTCTTCGAATAGTGTATCTCCATTTTGATCTTCATTATCATTTGTACTATTTATATTTATTAAATTTAAATTTTGTTCAATATCATTGACATACAACGATTTAAAATAATTTTGAATTAAATGATGAATGGTCGACGTGAGATAAGACAAATTATTTACATGATTTGGCTCAGAATAAATTGCACGTTGTCGACACTGTGCAGCAAATTCACATTGTTGACATCGAGGTAACATCATCCATTCGTTACCTAAATAGAATCAAATATTTTATTGAAAAGTAAATAATAAAGTTGAGTACAATCTTACCCGTTAATACTTTTTTTAATTCATTGTGTAAAAAAAATTCTAAACGTATTTCTAATTTTTCTAATGGAAATATTTTTCGTTCAAAAGGTAATGAATTTTCATTACTAATTTCTGTGGAAGGGAGCCATATTTCACCATATTTTGAAATTTGAATAAGATTTTTATCAAAATTATTTCGAATTAACCAATGACGCAAATCAATTGCATACAAAGCTACTTGAACACAATGTTCAACACGTAATTGTGATGATGCTTTAGCATCGCACACTGTTATCTCATATTTAGCATCACAATTATCACTACTCGTAGATTTAATTAGCAAAAAATCCGGTTTATAATTACCTAAACAACAGAGATCGAAGATAGTATTGTTAAAAATTATTCCCAAGCATTAAAAAGAAAAAATCTAGTATCGCTTGATTCATCTAGATTACTCGATTGCAATTATTTAGTAACGACAATGGAAATGCTTGATTTTTTCTCAGTTGCAACTATTGATTTATCGCCCCATAATTGATAGATTTAACTATTGCTAGTTGTACATGCAGACGCACCTAGTTAACAGTTCCCTTTTCCAACGAGTAGTCTAGATGACAATTAGTCGTGCATTGCCCGATTATAGACGAAATATATCTAGATTTTGTTTAGATTAAAGAGAATAGAGAATAAATACCTAGACTAAGATCATATTGCCATTTAAATTTAATATTGTAACCGATATGACATTTATTATTTGACGATATTGACGTTGTTGCTAAATAAGTGTTCAACCATGCTGAAAATTCATTCTCGTCATGAATATGTGATAGGATTGTTTGTTGTTGATCGAAATATGACTTGATATTTGATTCAAAAGTTATACCACGTTGAATTGTTTGTGACTGAATAAAATCAGGTGTTCGGTGTTTCTGTCGATCACCATTTTCTTCACATTTCAATGATAATCTCAAATATTCATCACATTCAAGACCAAAATAATGTGACAATGTACTAACATTTAAAGGGCGACGAATTCTAAAATAAATAAGTAAATAAATAAATAAAATGAATATAGTTTGAGACATGATTGAGTTTGTAGCAAGACGCAGCACTGTGAGGATATTTCACTTACATAATACTTATCGTTGAAATAAAAGTTCGAGTGAATAACAACATTGTGTCAAAAAGAATTTAACAACAACAAGATGAAACGAATCATACAGAAACATTTCTAAAAAACCAAAACAGACAGTCATAGACTTCTTTTTTTATCTAAGACTGGTCAAGACTATCGTCACCTACTATTATTAAGATTTGAAGAAAAGGATTGATGAATAATAGGAATCTAGCAAATAACGAGAAGTCTCTTTTCACAAAAGATATACCACGTGCGGACATTTGTTCGTCTCAGCACGTCAATAGAAAAGAAAGAGAAGAGAAAGATATGCATATGCGAAAAAAGATATCCTCTTATTTGCTAGTTCTCTTTCAGCGGTCAGTAGCAGCTTTATCATTATAATGTGATAAATATTCATTAGCATATTAACTTAATCGAGTAATTTTAGAAACTTTTTCGGTCAAACCGACTGCAGAATCGGTTACTTTGCATGCAGCAAATTTTGTATTGGAAAAAGCCCTAAAAGATGTTTTCCCATCGTTTTCTCTAATAATTTTTAAGAGAGGGACACAGAGAAGGAAACTATGAAATATAGTATCATGTAAATAATAAAATAAAGGAAATGTTGAGTGATTTACATCGTAAAAAGAATCACTATTTTCAGTTCTCTAACTAAGTAAATGACAGAGGTGGGCGAGTCCCCACTTTTCGCGCCCGAGTCAAAAGCCTTCCAGATCCGAGTTGCATCCAAAATTGACTCTAATCGCTTCGAGTCATCTTCTCGAGGAACTCGAGTCAGTTCAGAAAGTTTCTCGAGCCCGAGTCATAGAAGAATGCGACTCGCCCATCTCTAGTAAATGGAGTACTTCAACAAGATCAATACTTACTTTAAACCATCAAGTCCAACTGCTGTTGATATATTTGCATTAATATCAATTTTATTATTAAAATTATTGCATAAACTTTCAATATCGTCCATGTTTTTTCTCGATAATTGTGCTATAATTTAAATTTATTGGAGATAACAAACATACGGACGATGTTCGATATAAAAAATTTTTGGTTGCGATCAATTACATCTCACATATAAACAGAAACCAACACTTAGTTATAAACACATAATTTCTTTCTTTTTCTCGTCATATAATATTGTAGCGTTCGAATCTAGAATACGAATGAAAGAAAAAGAAAATTGAAGATTGAACTGCCAATATCGTATAAGTCATCTGACTTGTTCAATCTTCCAAGAATAATAGAGACAAACTGTATGCAAACAATGATAAACATTCATTTATGCCCAATGACGGACTTCTCTTCATAAATATCAACATTCCTTCAGAATTTTCGCAGTGATGATTGCAGATCATTTAGAAAAGTGTCAGCAACGTAAAAATTCTACAATTTCAATGGCTTTTACCGAAAAACATCATGGGTTCTCTTGAAAACTGATCGATTAGTAAACGAAATAAAAATACCCACCGGTACACAGATTCATGAAGTCTGTAGAAGAAAAGAAATTACTTACATATCCGAAGGTAAAATAAGCTAAGATAAAAATGCCCCTAACACCGTCAGCGTCGGTATAGAATAACATTGGTGTCATTTTCATTTTATTTTATTTTGGCCCATTACATATCAGAAAGGAAAAGAAAAGCGATATGGACATGAACGGTCTAGTGCGACATCTTTCTAGTCAACACTTCATAGTTGGTTATTCTCACTCTTCAGATACAACAGAAGTAGTCGTATATCAAATTCTAGAACGTTCTGTAGTTAGCCTGACTTCTAGACGTTATGTACTATAGAAAAAATTACTCTTGATCTTTTCACTTTTGAAAAACAAAAATAATTTGATAAATAATAAAAATAATAAGTTGAACCTCAATTTTCCCCTAAACGTGCTGAAACTTTTCGAGATTTTTTCAGGATAGGAACTACTTAGTGGGATCTGTAACTTTGCTCATACAACTATCCTCGACACTTTCCATTTTTCACCCTCAGTTTTCCAGAAAACCCTTTAAAACCTTACCTCATGAAAAGAAAATTGAGCTATTATGACTCTATATTCCTGTTCAGCGCGAAGAATTCAATGTACTTCAACGTTTTCAGAGGCTTCTTTGCGTTTCCGTACCGCAGTTTTCTAAGAGGATTTCTGGAAAACTGAGGGTGAAAAATGGAAAGTGCCGAGGATAGTTGTATGAGCAAAGTAATAGATCCTACTAAGTAGTTCTTATTCTAAAAAAATCTCGAAAATTTTTCGGCTTCTTTAGGAGAAAATTGAGGTCCAACTTCAGGAATTTTTCAAGTAAATTGAGTACCGTTCGAACGTAAAGTTAGATCGAGACCGAATCCCTTCGCCATTAGAATCAACTTGTCAAGAGCTGCAATTTGATGTTTAATTATGCAATGTTTCGTTCATTTTCACCGACTTCGGTTTCACCCTCACCAAAAACTTGAGGTGTCTAGAAA